CCCGCTACCCTTGTTCCAGGGCCAGCCCTTCCCCGCTACCCTTGTTCCAGGGCCAGCCCTTCCCCGCTACCCTTGTTCCAGGGCCAGCCCTTCCCTGTGCCCTTGTTCCGGGGCCAGCCCTTCCCCGCTGCCCCTCCGATGGCCAAAATGCCTCCTCGGATTGGGTCCCCTGTGGGACCAGCAATACTCTTGAGAAAGCTAAACGCTTGAATTGAGGATGGGTTTTCCTCCAGCCATGCTTTACAGAGCGTTCTTTGCTGTGATGAACACCACGGATCGGGACAGCGGACTGCAGCCTGTCGCAAGGCCTCGGTCTACTCTGACCCTCCTGACATCTTGGCTAGCCGTGCCACTGGCAGCATTCGCATATAGACACCTCCTTCCTGATGTGGGCCTGAGAAGACTTGCAGACTCCTTTCCTCCTCTGTCCCCTGACTGGGGCTTGCTTCCATATCTGTCCCTGCTAACAAGAGCTTGGTTGAGTCAACGATGATGGCCGGTCCTGTTCCACTCAGAAGCAGAAATAAGGAGATGCCAGTGTTTGGTGGGCACAGCCAGGCAGCATCCCCATTTTCTAAAGGAGCCTTTGAAAACATTCAAGGAGCTTATGAAAACCCATGCCACAGAACACCAACCTCAGCCTAGATGCCCATGGCTCTCAGTCTACACACCTGCTCCTCTTCTCCCCTCTGAGAGAAAAGCTTGGTATGCACAATACATGTTGAAATGCACATGCAAAAATGCAGCATATGTTTGGACATGGTGGCATATGCTTATGATCCTGGGACTCCAAAGTTGGAGGTAGAAAGATTGCAGGCTTGAGGCTAGTCTGAGTTAGCTAGTGAGTTTGAGGCTATCCTGCCTTAACTATGGGAAGCTTTCTGCAAACACACACACACACACACACACACACACACACACACACACACGCGCGCTGCATGAAAATCCAAATAACTACAATCAGACATCATTTATTATTTCTCTTACATTTTACTTTATTTTGGAAAGACAGGAACAAGAATACCTATCAGAAACTACAAAGTTTCTTTTTAATGTAGTTACATTTATCTACTTGGCAGTAACTCATCCTACTAGTAAATAAACAGATGTATTAGAAGCAATAGTTAGCATGTAGAACACCAGCATCTTTCATTAATGCTGAAGGTCTAGGTCTACAGGAGTAGCAAAGGAGCAAACACTCCAACTGGAAAATTCAGGAGCGTCTGTGTAAAGAAAGAGAGGCGTATTCAGAATAAGAAATCTTCCCCAGACCAGGCATTCATCTCTGCTCCAAGCTGCCAGTCATTTTACTGTTGGTCCAAAGAGGCAAGATATGCCAAGACCATCACAATGAATCACGGAAGCTTTAAGTTAGACAAATCAATTCAGAAACACTGAATACATAGAATTAAAAGTTGAGATTCAGACCCTTACAAGTAAACCCGTATAGACCTTGGCAAGGTCGACACAGTGTCAAAGTGGCCATCACACTAAGACTGATTATGAAAGAATGAGATTTCCTTGGGATGAAGCTCGCATTTCCCGTTCAGCCCTAGGCACGTCATTCTTTCTTGGCCACGTTGTAGCCTTTTTTTTTTTTGATCAGTCGTGGGGGTTAAACTTTGGGGGGTGCTGTCCCTCAGCTCTCAGCTCAAGGCTAGTACTCTACCACTTGAGCCACAGCACCACTTCTGGCTTTTTCTGCTTATGTGGTGCTGAGGAATCGAACCCGGGGCCTCATACATGCAAGGCCAGCACTCTACCACTGAGCCACCTTCCCAGCCCTGGTTGTAGCCATTTTTTTAAGGTGCAGGCCACCCGTCCTTCAGGTCACCAACGGCTTCTGGCTGGCGCTTGCCAAACAGCACATAGACCAGAAAGATACCCAGCAGGACAGCCATGCCCCGTCTCCAGAGGGTCCTGTGTGACTTCTGCCACTGCCACAGCCCTGCCAGCAGCCAAGACCCCGGGGACCTCTGCACACGGGCAGCTACGGCCTCCGCCACCCTCTGGAGCCGCTGCTCGGGGTGGGTGGTGCGCAGTGACTGCGCCACGTCGTACACCTGGTTGGTGTAGTGCGTGCCCCCGAGCTTCTTCACCAGGCCGGTGACCAGGCCCAGCAGCTCCTGCACCTGGGCCTCCCGCTCGCGGCCGGTGGCCCGGTTGTCCAGGGCGCACACGCGGCCCCCGCACTCGTCCACCAGCTTCCTCAGGGCCAGGTTGTCGGTGAGGCGCACGTACTCCTGCAGGGAGCCGCCGGCCAGGTCCTCCTTCCTGGTGAAGACCACCACGATCCTGGCCACCACGCCCTCCCCGAACAGCTCCTTCACCTTGCCCAGCGCCTCCTGGTCCTGCCTGGTGTAGCGACCCAGCTGGGTGACCAGCAGCAGGGCATGGGGGCCAGGGGAGGACAGCAGGTAGCAGCGCCCTCGCTCGAGACACCGGGGGTCCGTCCTGGGCACTTGGGTGCTGAAGATGTCCGGGGTGTCGATGACATCCACGTGCCACCCAGCCCACTGCCTGCTGCCGGCCTCGCAGGTGCTGGTCACGGACGTGGCTGCCAGCCTCGACACGAAGCGCTGCTGGCCCAGGATGCTGTTGCCCGTGGCACTCTTCCCTGTCCCCGTTCTCCCAACCAGGATGAGCCGCAGCTGGGACTCCTGCGGGAACTGCTGGACCTCACCTTCTGACCCTGGGAGGGCAAAGGTCACAGGATGTCAGTCGCAGCCACCTTTC